TCTCAGAACTCACACCTGTCATTAGCTCTGTCTACACCCAGATGCAGCCCCTCCCTGGTCGACTGGAGCTTCCAGGGTCCCGAGAAGCAGGTGAGGGACCCGAGGACCTGGCTGATGGAGGTCCCCTCCTCTACCGGGCCCGAGGCCCCCTGACTGATCCTGGGGCATCCCCCAGCAATGGCTGCCAGGACTCCACAGACACAGAAAGCAACCATGAAGATCGGGTTGCGGGGGTGGTATCCCTCCCTCAGGGTCCCCCACCCCAGCCACCTCCCACCATTGTGGTGGGCCGGCACAGTCCTGCCTACGCCAAAGAGGACCCCAAGCCACAGGAGGGGTTACTGCGGGGCACCCCAGGCCCATCCAAGGAAGTGCTTCGGGTGGTGGGCGAGAGTGGTGAGCCCGTGAAGGCCTTCAAGTGTGAGCACTGCCGCATCCTCTTCCTGGACCACGTCATGTTCACTATCCACATGGGCTGCCATGGTTTCAGAGACCCTTTCGAGTGCAACATCTGTGGTTACCACAGCCAGGACCGGTACGAATTCTCTTCCCACATTGTCCGGGGGGAGCATAAGGTGGGCTAGCAACTTCTCCCCCACCCCCAGTCCACCACTCCACTGCCCTGCCTACAGGTGTCTAGCCCTGTTTCCACCACATCCCGAGGAGTTTTGCTTTGTAGCCCCCACCACTGGCTATCTGACTTCACACCTGACCCTGACCCCTCCTCACCTATTCTCCTCTACTCTGACCGATTTAAGCATTGTGAGGAAACAGGTCTTTTGCTTATATTTCTCCTTTTTCTCTTCTCTCATCCCAGCATACTCACTATTTATTAATTAGTTTATTTTTCTTTTGCCTTTTTTTTTTTTTAACTTATATTAGTCACATGCTACTCCCACCCTCCTGCCCACAGTTCCCTTCCACTTTAGGCCTAATTTGTCTCTTTGACCTAGAATCCTCCAACAGCCCCAGGGGTAGGAAGCTCCTCTTCATACTTAGAGACCTTGAGCTTCTTGCTTTAAGTCCTCACTCTTACATTACCTGATTCTTTAATTCTGATGCTGATACCTCTCTCTGGCCCCACCTTAGCCCTGTGGCATTATATCTCCTCTCTGGGACCCTTCAACCTGGTACTTCATACCTCTTGTGCCCTCTCACATTAGGCAGCTTGCACTATTCTTGAATGAATGAAGAATTTCCTCATTTGGAAGTAGGAGGGGCGGAAGAAATTCTCCCCAGGCACTGTGGGACTGAGGGTCCTCTTGATGTTCTGCTAGTAACATGAGTTCCTCAAAGGCTACATTCAGGATCTCCCTCTAAGATGTGACATATCTCTTCCTTCTTGAAAAATCCCTCAACACTGCTCTAATATCTTTAATCTGCCGGTCTATTCAGTGGTGGCTTTTCTCTCCTTGGAGTGCCCCATTTTTGTATTCTCAGGGGCCAAGGCTAGGTCTGCAACCCTCTGTCTCTGACACATTGGGAGCCACAGGTGCCTAATTGGGAACCAGGGCATGGGAAGGGGGTGGGTCAAAATTCTTCTCTTTCTCCTCCACCTCTCAAACGTCTTCACTCTAGTGACCTCCCTAGGCTCTCAGGGGCTCCTCTAGTCCCCATCCTATGAGAAACTAGTAGGTTGCTGCCTAATGACAAGGGGGTATCTCAACCCCTCAGTCATGCTGCTTTCTTCCTCCCCTTCCCAGCAGGATTCACCCTCTCATTCCTGGGCTCCTGGGCCCTGTTCTTAGGATCAGTGCCAGGGAGAAAAGGGTGTCTCTTTTCTCACTTCTAATTCTCAGTATAACCAAAAATGAACCCAGGATGAGCAAGGGCATGTGCCCCTCACTCCATTCCACCCTCGTTCCAGCAAGAATGGGATGGGCACAACTGAACTGGGGTCATCCTATATTGCCCCCTTCTACACTCAGCTCGCAGACATAGGGTAGGAGGGGGCAGTCTTCTGGCTACTGCAGAGACCCCTGGCTATATGGATGATCTAGGATTAGTGAGAAGGGGCAGGAGGAGATGCAACTCCACTGCAAGTGGAAGTCTCTTTCAACTAGAGTTTCCTGCCTGAGGCCACAGCCATCCCACTCTCTGCTTCCCTGAGATTCAAACCAAAGGCTGTTTTTCTATGTTTAAAGAAAAAAAAATAGTAAAAACCAAACACAACACCTCGTAAGTTTTAACTCTTGGTCCTTCTCTCTCCTTTTCTCTTCCCTTCCTTTCCCTTCCACCTTTCTTTCCACATGTCCTTTCCTTATTAGCTCTTTTGCCTCCTACTTTTCTCACTCCCTATCAGGGATATTTTGGGGGATGGTAAAGGGTGGGCTAAGGAACAGACCCTGGGAATGGGGCTCTTAAGGGCTCTGGGAAAAGTCTACCTTACCTTCTTATGGGAAGAGAGACCCTAAAAATTTTCTCCTCTTTATCCTCCTTTTTCTCCTCCATTATGTGGTTTCCCCAAGAAAACCAGATTGGCAGGGAGAGGCACCATGAGGTGATTGTTTCTCCTTGACAATGTAGCAATAAACAGATGCTGCCAAGGGCAGAGGATGAGGAGTTACCTCAGAGGAGAGTGGTTTCTAGAGAAAGGAAGAATCTTCTCAACAGCACCCCAGGGTACTAGCTCCTTGTTTCAGGATGGCAGCAGAGCTGAGATTAATATCTGGGCTTCTCCTGAATTATTCTGGTTATTGAGCCCCTTCTCGTTAGCCCTAGCCCCCCCCCTTCTGTGTTTGCTGTGTATTTAGTGACACCTCCTAAGGACTAGTCCCTTCTGAGGTATCAGAGCCTTAGGGTATCCCCATCCCCTCCCCCAGTTGCTTTGGCACCTGTAACCTCCCAGAACATGAAGGACTATGCTCTGAGGCTATATATTTGCTCTGTGCCCATGAGAGCAGAGACTGGAAGGGCAAGACCAGGTGCTAAGGAGGGGAGAGAAGGGCATCCTGTCTCTCTCCAAACCATCACTGCACTTTAACCAGGGTCTTAGGTACAAAATCTTACTTTTCAGAGCCTTCCAGCTCTGGAACCTCAAACATCCTCATGCTCTCTCCTAGCTCCTTTTGCATAAAAAAAAAAAAAAAAAAAAAAGAAAGAAAGAAAGAAAGAAAAAAACCCCAACCATTGAAACCCACACAGAGAAAAGAGGTGTTTCTTTTTATATTGCTATTCAAAATCAACACCACATACAAAAAAATTTCTTAATAGACACTTTTCCAGACCTTCGTTTTTTCGTGTCAGTGTCCAAGCTGTGGATGGGATTTTGTAATACTTCTAGCAGCTTCTTTCCTTGTGTACATAATATATATATATATATATTTTTAATCAGAAGTTATGAAGAACAAGAAAATAAAATAAAACACAGAAGCAAGTGCAATACCACCTCTCTTCCTCTCTCCCAGGGTTTTGTTTGTAGCCTATGTTTGGTGTCTCCTTTGACCCATAACCCCTCACCTCTTCCTCTGGTCCTCTCTCCCCTCCTTTTTAAAAGAGTTTTTCTCCTTTCTCAAGAGGAGTTAAACTAGCTTTTGAGACTTATTGCAAAGCATTTTGTATATGTAATATATTGTAAGTAAATATTTGTGTAACGGAGATATACTACTGTAAGTTTTGTACTGTATTGGCTGAAGGTCTGTTATAAATAAACATGAGTAATTTAACACCCCTGGTTGTTTTTACAGACTTCCTTTGCCTTGCTTTTCTGCTGGGAGGGAGTGGGGCCTCCTTGCAGCGTATTGTACCTACTGCTAAACAGTTTAGGATGTGAACAAGTCAAAGATCAAGAGGAAATGAGACAAGAGTGCTCAAATTGTTGGTGCAGAAGAACAGAAGAATTTTCAGCCTCAAATGCAAAGTGGTGGAGATTTTCCTACTGGGAGTGCCAAAACAGAGATTCATCAAACATTTATTTAGTACCTACTATGTGTGTAACACATTATATGCCCAGGGCGATTTAAGTTACAATAACGTGAATAATGATAACGATAGGGTCTACCACTTGAACATCTGAAATCCTAAGCACTGTGCCAAGTTTCATTTAATTGTAGAAACACCTACAAAGGAACGATCACAATTATTGCTGAAGAAATAAAAACCCAATAGAGAATAAGTAACTTGCCCAAGGCTCATCAGCCAGTAAGAGACAGAACCAGAATTTGTACCCAGGGGTGTGTGACTCCAAAGACTGTGCCAATTCCTTTATGCCAGGGAATACAGCCAGTGAAACCTCAGTCTATAAAAATCCAAAGAAAAACCAAAGTAGGAACATCAATTTAGTTCTTTCTTAAATATTAACTATTTCCTGTCCCCTTGACTCTGAACTTTGTTCTGTTCTCTCCCATCTACCTCATTGTTATTCTATGCAGCAATGTCTGCCTTCTGTTTTCTTTCTTTCTTTTTTTTTTTTTTAAAGATGGCTATACCTCCATCCATTTGTTTGTTAAGTGAAAGACAGCATAACATAGTGGAGCCAAAAGACCTCTTATTAATTTTGTGTAACCTTGGGTAATTATTTAACCACTGTGCACACTGGAAGGTCGAATTCACAAAATGTTTTGTTTTCTACCAAGTCTTGCACTTCGAAATCCTACACCTAGTAGCAAGACTGTCTGAGAAACGAGCCGAGGGCGTCCCCCGGTGGCGTAGCGCCGCCTCAGGTCTAAGGACTTGGGGCCGGAGGGGCCTCTCGGCTTTCGCACTACAACTCCCACAACGCATCTCTCCTCCTCCTCCTCTCCCTTCCAATAGTGTGTCTGGTGGTCGCCGCCGGGCAACTTCCGTGCCGAACATCACGTAAATCGGAACCTGTGACGCCCAGAATTACGTCCGGGGTAGGGCGTCGCGGTGCTTGCTGGGATACGTTTTACTCTAATCTTCTTCCGCCAGCAGGCTAAATAGTCCCACAAGTACTTCGTTTTACGGATAAATAAATTCTGAGAACGCCTTTCCACCCTAGATTTCAGTGGAAACGCTGAATAATAAGGAAAGGCTGAGTAAAGCAGGTTGCTGTTCTGACTCCCGTCTCCTAAGGGTTCTTCCAGTGTGAGCGCAGGGATACTCTCGCGCTATATAAGAGGTCCCGGCCGGGCGCCGGATCCTCTCTCGAGTCCTCCTCTCCAAAATGGTGAGTGGTGGCGCGTGGTGAGTGTTGGGGGCCGGGTGGAAGCTGAGAGGCTCAGATTCTGGGGTTGTGGGGATTTGAGAGCCTGGACCATGGTAGGGGACTGGACCGAATGTATGTATGTTTCTGGGCTTGGAGGGATCTTTGGAGGGACAGGAGATGAGTGGCGCCTTTCTGGTGGCCGACGGCTTGGGACGTATCCGGAAGGGGGCTAAGGCCGGGTAAGTCGCACCCTCTTCCTAAGAGCATCCTCATCGTCATGCAGACAAAGAAAAGACGGAACAACGGTCGTGCCAAAAAAGGCCGCGGCCATGTGCAGCCTATTCGCTGCACGAACTGCGCTCGATGCGTGCCCAAGGACAAGGCCATTAAGAAGTTCGTCATTCGAAACATAGTAGAGGCCGCAGCCGTCAGGGACATTTCCGAAGCGAGTGTCTTCGATGGTAAGTGAGCCACCGGCGGGTTAGGAACTTAGTACCTAAAGCCGTCCCCCAGCCTCGCCCTTCTGCAGGCTCTGTTCCTTGGCACGTTTCTGGAACGTCTTGGGCAATTTGCATGTACCTTTAAGGTTATTGCTGGTGGTAGAGAACGAACGGTATGTTTGCTCCCTTATTTGCCGTTTTGAGCCTTGTCTGAGCAGAGTTTTTGTGGTAGCGTGCCCAGCTTTATACTCTGAAGTTTGAGTCTTACATTGTGACTGCTTGTTTGGGGATAAGATTCCAGAAACACCTCTAGAGGTAAAAGCTTGGTAAACGTAACTACTGAAAAGCGTTTGAGTAGTTGTGAAAATGTAATGACAAGGAAGGGTCTTTCGAAGAATGGCGTCATCTAATTTGGTGGACAAGGGTGATCTTTGGAGCAGTATGATAATGTCGCTTTATTTTCTTTTTCTTAAGACAAATTACTTTTTTAGGCATCAAGAAGGGACTCAGGAGTGGCATTAGGGCTGGTGCAGTTGTTCAAACTAGATTCTTGGTTTATTACATCTGAGATGAGGATTTGGTCCCCCTGATGTCCAGATGGGCTTGTAGGGGGTATTATCAGTTTGTAAAACTTAGTTTTATATATGTGCCCAGATATCAGAAGCTGAACAGTTGCTTTGGGAATGAAAGTTTCGTAAATGTGCCCAACAGATATTTAAGTACATTTAGTTTTGACTGATGGAGTGAACAAGAAAGAATAATGTGAAGTGGTTGGGTATATATAATATCTTTTTTTTTTTTTTTCTGTTACTCAGCCTATGTGCTTCCCAAGCTGTATGTGAAGCTACATTACTGTGTGAGTTGTGCCATTCACAGCAAGGTTGTCAGGAATCGATCTCGTGAAGCCCGGAAGGACCGAACACCCCCACCACGATTTAGACCTGCAGTGAGTATTTTTAAAGGAGGATGTGAAAGCCAGATGGGTGATGGGAAGGTATGTGAGGACACAAAGAATATCAAATCAAGATGTTTGCCTAAGGTTAAGCTCTAAGTCTGGTTAGGCAGGTGAGAGACACTCCTGAAGAGTTGTTAGAACCTGTATTCCGATAAAGTAGTATAGTTTCTTTCCTTCCGCATCTTCCAGTGTCCCGTGTGTTTATAGCCTGAACACATTTAGTGATGAAAGGGTGATGGTCAAGTTCTTTGGGGGGATGGGAGTCTTGGATTCATGTTTTTTTTAATTTACTTTTCCATTCCTGTGTCTTTCAGGGTGCTGCCCCACGACCTCCACCAAAGCCCATGTAAGGAGGTGAATTCATAAGGACTGAAGAAAAACTATTCTCTGGAAAAAAATAAAATGGAAATTATACTCAGTATAGCATGTTGAGTGTATCTGTGCCAAACAGGGTCCAATTTTATGTGCATCTTATACAAAGAATTCAGGTGTGGAATGCCACATAGTGTTTCCCTGAGAAAGAAAGCTATCCATGTAAGTTAAACCTTAACTCTTCTACCTTATATTTGGATCCGTGGCCTCCCCAATTTGCATAGCTGTGTAAAAAAAAGGACGTGTAGGCACCTGAGTGTTGGATTAATTCAACCTGGCCAAGTTTAAGTTGACATCCTAAAAATGAGTGAAGAGGGGCTGGCCAGTGGCTTACTTGGGAGAGCATGGTGCTGCTCAAGGTCAAATGTTCCGATCCCCTTGCCACCCAGCCACAAAAAAACCTTAATACTAAAAATGGGTGAAGAACTGGAAGAGTAAGTAAAGAACATGAGGTGAGGAGTTCATACCCCAAGTATGGGGCTTTAATAGGAAAGGGACAACTTGAATAGCTTTAAACCTATTCTAGGAACCGTGTTCAGATCCTAAACTTCTATCTTGAAATTGGTAGCTGGCTAGTAAGCTGGCTACCCAGTGTGCATCTTTCTGTTCTGCATTTCTCTATTTAGTAAAAATGTCAAAAGACACCAGAGACATTTTTTTTTTTATTTTGTCAATATACAATGTAGTTAGTTATTGTGTCCCATCACCAAAACCTCCCTCCCTCCTCCCTCTCAACCAGAGACATTTTTTTTTTTATTTTGTCAATATACAATGTAGTTAGTTATTGTGTCCCATCACCAAAACCTCCCTCCCTCCTCCCTCTCAACCAGAGACATTTTTAGAGTCCCATTAGAGGAAGGAGGAAGTTCCACATGTATGGAGAAAGGTTATACTTTGTGACAGTGGTTTGTCCTACAATTCAGAAATGAGAAACTTAATTTGGGATATATATTTGTCTGAAAAAGCCATTTGGGAATAGGTCATTTAGGACTGACTTTTCCAATTTGGTAGGTGTTTATTCCTGCAGCCAAATCAATAGCTTGGAGATTGTGTTTATATACCTTTTGCTGAAGAACAAGTGTCTATATTCCAAGGAGTATGATAGCAAGGAAGGAGTAGAGTATTTCAGAGCATGGAGGTGGTTATGTTAATTGGAAAACGCTTTAGCTTGGTACTGAAACTAAAAACCAGATAGGAACTGCTGACCCTGACTTGGAGATCAACATACTAGTGCATGTGCTGGAATAGCTGTGGCAAATCCTGAATTTGTCAGAACATCTTTTGGGGAGGCTGGGCTCACAAGACAGGTCTGTGCCCCTTTGTTCTTCTATGCTATAGTGACCCCTTCACACCAGGGGTAAAACATTGATGGAAGATAATCAGAGGTTCAAAGTGAAACCTGGTGGTCCCAAATTCCAGCTTGCTCAATATAACCAGACTCAAATAGTAAGTCTGGGCTGTGGGTTTATCAAGATTGCTCTTGAGGGCTGGCCCGTGGCTCACTCGGGAGAGTGTGGTGCCAATAACACCAAGGCCACGGGTTCAGATCCCCTTACAGGTCATCTTTAAAGAAAAAAAAGGATTGCTCTTGAAATGTTGATGGGGCAGGGCCAGCCCGAGGCTCACTCAGGAGAGTGCAGTTCTGATAACACCAAGGCTGTGGGTTCGGATCCTATATAGGGATGGCCCTTTAGCTCACTGGCTGAGCGTGGTGCTGGCAACACCAAACCAAGGGGTTTTTTTGTTTGTTTTTTTAAAAGATGACTGGTAACAGATCTTAACCCTTGGCTTGGTGTTGTCAGCACCACGCTCAGCCAGTGAGTGAACCGGCCATCCCTATATAGGATCTGAACCCACAGCCTTGGCGTTATCAGCACCGCACTCTCCTGAGTGAGCCACGGGCCGGCCCTTACCGGTCATCTTTTTAAAAAAAATAGTAAAAAAATAAAAAGAAATGTTGAAGGGGAGAGCCTACCCTTTCCTCAGGATAGGTCTGTGAGTTTAGAAATATGGCATTCTAATATCAGATTGTGCTGTTTGAGTTTGTCTCCAGAGGAATTGCTTTCAAGAGGAATGCTGCTGTAAAAATTGGTTTGGCAGGGCCGGCCCGTGGCTCACTCGGGAGAGTGCGGTGCTGATAACACCAAGGCCCCGGGTTCGGATCCCATATAGGGATGGCCGGTTGGCTCACTGCGTGAGTGTGGTGCTGACACCACCAAGTCAAGGGTTAAGATCCCCTTACCGGTCATCTTTTAAAAAAAAAAAAAAAAATTGGTTTGGCAACTTTTCTACTTGAAAATCTCAAAACTAATTGTGATTTTGTAGTGTCAGATAACTTTTACAGGAGGGCTTTCCATGGTGCTTCAGGCTGTAAAGTAGCCCCATCCCACCTCCCAACCCAACACCAGTTGCAAATAAACAATGATTTGTCTGGTGAGCAACCAGGATATGCAATTTCCACCTATGGGAAAGTTACCTGGTAGTAGGCATACGTCACCTACTCCTAAAAAGAAAGCCACACGTCATGTCAGAAGTAAGCCCACAAGTCAGCTTGAGGTTTTCTATGTGTTTAGATAGCAAAGCCAGCATCCTGCTGTGCTTAACCTGTTGTGGGCTGAAGTTCTAGTTGGTCATAATAAAGGTGGTATTAAACCTCAAAACCCTTCATTTTTTAGTGGACTTCATTACGGAAAAAGGTTATTGGAGTCTCAGCTGCCTTCTTAACACTTCTGAGGCATTCACACTCGATGTGGGAAGAGTATTCAAGCCAGGTAGGGGCCTCTGGGCTCTTCCAGCCATTGGTCAAATGTCCACCTGTGGAAGAAGTGGGAGGAAGAAAAGAGGGATTTTATAAGGTAGAAATATCAAAATGTTTGAGGTTGGGAAAATAGAGATAAATAGAGAAAAGCAGATGATGTAGGAGACAGGGTCATGTCCTTAAATAGTCAAGAAGGGGTGGAATCTAGTGCACAGGTGGAAAAGTTGGCCTTGGATAGGAGTACAGTTTATCTACAATAGCAAGAGGGAAGATGGAATGTATAATCCAAATGCAGGTAGGTTGTTTGCTACTTTTATTTCTCAGTGAAGAAGGAGGAGGTAAGGTCATTGGCTAAGAATGAGTAGAAAGGAAAAAGAACAGAATAGGTATCTGGGAAAGTGCAAAAGTGAGTGGGCTAGGGACTTTGTTCTGGTGTGATTGACCAGCCGTGCTCAAGGTTAGAAGTCAAGAATTTAAAGAGACCAGTTGGCATTGTTGAGTACTTTTTCCAACTATTCTTACAGATACAGACCCAAAGTGGGTGGAGAATTGGATTTTACCAAAATTAGATTAACCAAATGAGTATGCTGAAGTGAGAGCGGGGCAAAAGAACTGGAGATGTATTCAAGAGTGATTATAATGACTGACCATGAAAGTTAAGATGGATAAGGAGGAAAGATAGGACATGGGAGGGTGAGGTCTAATGGAAAGGTGGTGTGATCAGTTTGTTCAAGTTCTGGATGGGGTTAGGACAGTAGAGCTGGTAAAAACGAGGTCAGAGTGGGATGTTTGCAATTGAAAACATGGAGAGGTTGCAATTATTGGTCAGAAGTCCTTTTGGGAGAGCTAGGTTTCCATTACAGCAGATAGCCAAGGGTATGTTGAGTTTGGGGGATTTTACTGACAATAAACTCTGAGCTTCAGAGGGATGTAAAAGGGTTTCAGGAGATGGGGAAAGAGTACAAAATGGCTGCATGGGAATTAGAATCTGGGAGTTGAGGGTTGACCCAGAATCCTGGGCCTCTTGTGGTGACTGTACATGAACAGGAATGAGGGCCAGGTGCAACGAGCCCTGTCAGACATCATGCCTCACAAGTCAAGTGTTAGTGGGGCCTGGAGTTCCAGCTCACCGTCCGCAGGTCCAGGGACACTGACTTCACAGCTCCTCCCCGAAGCTATTTTCCTGACATTTTCTCTCTGCTCTCTTGTTTCATGTCAGCATTGCACTCATCATTTCTGAAATATGGGAATATCTGGGAAGACAGCAAGGTTAGAGAGGCCCAGAAGCATTGGGACGGAGGTGCAGAGCACCAGGAAAGGAGGAGAGAAATTGGACAGGGGAGGAGGGTACAGAGTCGCTCTGCCATCTTCCCAGCCCCCAAAGAGAAGTTCTGAGGACACATTACTTTCTTCACTGTAAAGCACTACAGAGTCTACCCTGATCCAGGCCCCCTGCATGGAAGTTGGATGAGTTCCTCGGGCTACAGTGAAAGATGGCATCAGGGACAGGAAGCTGGGCCTCATAGATGGTAGTACCTTGAAGTGACCAAGGGGCAGTACAGTGCGGCAGTTAAGATGCTCGCTTGACAGAGCTGAGTTTAAATCCTTCCTTTGAGGGCCGGCCCGTGGCTTACTCGGGAGAGTGCGGTGCTGATAACACCAAGGCCATGGGTCTGGATCCTATATAGGGATGGCCGGTTCGCTCACTGGCTGAGCGTGGTGCTGACAACACCAAGCCAAGGGTTAAGATCCCCTTACCGGTCATCTTTTTAAAAAATAAATAAATAAATAAATCCTTCCTTTGAGAAAACACTTACTCTATTTTGTGGAATACCATGTTGCCCGATTCTAGAATCTCAATAAAGCCAATTGAGATCTTTTTTTTTTTTTTTTTTTAAAGATGACCAGTAAGGGGATCTTAACCTTGACTTGGCGTTGTCAGCACCACGTTCTCCCAAATGAGCCACAGGCCGGCCCGGCCAATTGAGATCTTTTTAAAAAAATCCTTCCTTTGCTATTCAGTAGCCCTCTAACCTTTCATAACTTCATTTAGAAATGGTAGTAGTTATACTTCACAGGACTGTTTTGAGAACTAAATGAAATAAGATATGCAAAAGACTTTTCATAGAACCTGCTGGGTAATGCAACTACTGCAACAAATAACAATAGTTATTATTCCTGGCCCAGTCTTCAGCTTTGCACGTCTTAAAAAGTCATGTTTTTTGGTTTTTGTTTTGGTTTTTTTAAAAAAAGATAACCGGTAAGGGGATCTTAACCCTTGGCTTGGTGTT